CCCCAAAACCCCAAAACCCCAAAACCCCAAAACCCCGTTAATACAGGTTCTAGTTGAAATTTTTTATAAAAGAAGTCTCTTAGTATATTTTTTAACTTAATCAGTGTGTTAAAATGTCAAGAAATAATCCTCGAAAGCATTACTCTGAAGAGGAGTATATTACCCTCAAAAGAAAAATTGGAAAAACCTTACAATTAATTAGAAACCTTCCAGAGAAGCTCATAGATGAAGAACTCTTCATTGCTGGCTTCATCTGAGGCAGAGATCATATCTCTCTGGCAGGAAGAGTGTTCTCTTTAATGTTGAAGAACTTTGGAGTTGATGAGAGAAAGATCATTCAAGAGAACCTAATAATTAAGAAACAAATTTCTCTCCTCCAGTGAAAATTTGATATCTATCAGAATAAGATGATTGAGCTAGACCGTGATATTTTTGAGAGATATCAAAATAAGTCACCACCTCAGACTAAGATTGAGAGGGATTCGCATAAAGACATTGGCAGGTAAGTTCACCCCCTATTTAGTGGTTTTAGTCCCATTATTACTTTATTTAGAAGGGAAGCAGTATATCAGCAGTCTGCTTATCACTGTGATAAATATCAGTCTAATTCACAACAGAAATGGAGCAATGAGTCCAGCTTAAAAGCTAATGAGCAGAAAACAAACACAAGATCTTCAACTAGCATTAGCGCAGGAGGCATTGAACAGAGAAATATTAAACAAGAGCCCATTGAAATAATTGATTCTTCTTATTCTGACTCAGAATGGCCAAAGCGTGAAAAGGAAATTTTAAAGAATATCACTGACAGAAAAATGCATAAAGAATCCAATCAACAATACTGAAACATAGCCATGAGTAAATTATCTGGCTATGATCCTCAAAGAGTTCTAAAGAATGAATCTAGCTTTACTGAAGGTTGGAGGCCTAGGAGAATACAGAAGCCAGCCATTCAGGAACAAAACAGAGGAAGCATACAAAGACAAGAAATGGATCATCTTGAGTTTCCTAATCAAGAAATGATTCAAGAAGATGTCAAAAATAAAGCTGGAGATTATGAACAGAAATTTAACGACTACTCTCATGAAGGAACTTTTAAAAATTACGTTGAGAAGATCACCGGTGAAGTTGTAAAGAATGTTTTGAAAGATAAGCACAGCTTAAAACAGATTTTCAGTAGTATTTAGTGATCAATCTGATACTAGTTGGTAATTTCCATTAGTCACATAAAACCTCATATTTTAGTGGGCAAAATGATATTGAAAGCAAGGTATGCAAGGTTTGTTTCGGGAGATCAGATAGAACAGAGATGGTAAAGATGCTTCATTGTAAGCATTACATTCATAAGAAATGTTTGAAAAAAGATACCTTCATTCAGCAAGACAGTGGTAATCCTATTGTTCACTGACCTGCCCTTCAATGTCAACTAATGAACCCAGCTACCAAAGAAATCAAAGTAAGATCCAAGTTTTCAAATAGCCTTTCTTCCTTTCCTACAAATATGAGTTAGAACCACAAATCCAATCTAAATTTTTAGCAAACTCTAACCCTTCCTACCTCCAAAGTTCCAACCCAACACTCCCAAGACCCTACTCCCCACGAAACCCCCACCCAACACTACCCCAACAAAAGAGAACGAAAGTACGTCCTCCTCCCCTCACCCCACAGAAGAAGAAAACACCTTGATGATTCCTCCAGCACCCGCTCAATTCCCCCTCTCTACAGCCCTAGCAAGCCTTCGCACAAAGACTGCGTAAACTTCTCTGTAGAAGACTTTGGTGGAAGCATGTCTTTCTCAAGAACAAGGTACGGGTTTTAGTGATTTGTAGTTGAGATAATGGTGTTAAGGAAGAGTAATAAATTGTAGGAACAAATATTCAGTGGGTTGGAAGCAGGGGTTTTGGGGTTTTGGGGTTTTGGGG